GAAAACATTGGTTTAAATCATTTCTTATCACTTCAACCCATGTCCTTTTTTATCTGCCCCTATCCCTTCTAGCCAATTCACTTGTAAGAGATTGCTTAGCTTACAMATGTTGTAGGTGGTATTTCAGGCATGTGATCAAACCATCTTAGTCTACTCATTTTATCACCCAATTGGAGCCACTCTTGGTTCCATTTATCTTTCTCAGAATATGCATTTCTGGAAAAAAAAAAATATGCATCTCTGCTACAATCATTTTCTTTTAATCAATATCTGCCACTCTTGGAGCCACTCTTTGTAATTATGAAAAATTACAAAGGGGGCTAAACAATCTTAGCTCCTGAGTACAACCATTGAACACCAAAATACAATAACAATACACAGCCCAAAATATAGAGTTTGTGTTCACCCCTTGCGTAGTTAGACCATCTGCCAGTGAGTTTGCACTTCTCTTTACCCATTTGTACTGAATTTCAATATCCTTAGTCAGCCACTTATATTTTCTCTTTTCATTGCGGTAATTCCATATCCTAGAGTTAATCTCTTTTAACCAGTCCACAACTTCAGAGTCTCCTTTATTAAAATGCATATCCTTGACTCTGTACCCCTTCAAGAGCTGCTGCAAGTATCTCAGCCCTCCAGGTATCTCTTATTGCTCCCCCTATTCTGGATGGGCCTGGATTACCCATACTGCTGCCATCAAAATTCAGTTTAGTGAAGCCATGAAGAGGGATCCAACGAGAGTTTGATACCTTCTTAGCTGAAGCTAATTCTGCAATCTCCTTCCAGTTTCTTAGCATCTCATTGACTGAGAAATCTACAAACAATGCCAAAGTTTTCAACCAATGTATCACCCTAATATGGATGACCTCCAATATTACTTCCAAGCTTCTCTCCTTTTCTGAAAAGATCCGTGAGTTTCTCTCCTCCCAAAACCTTTTATAGAATTTTCCCATTAATCTAATAGAGGTATTTGCCTGTCGCACAAGACTGGATGCACCATTCCATTTTGCCCACCCTGCTCTAATTCTATGCACACAGATCCATTTCCTTTTAATCTCTTGTTACCATTAGAACCTAACTTACAGAACACAGAAACTGGTTATACTTGGAGCTCAGAAAATTAGTGATATCAGGCAGTAAGGAATATAATCATCAATGTTGAGTTAAAGTGAATGCTCAGATTTGACTCTAAGTGGATCAGAAAGTCATTACTGGATGAGGGAAAACAATTTGGCTTAGCCAAGCTAGGTTCATAACTGATTGTGAACATTCAAGCAGGAAAAAGCCAGGATGAACTAGTATATTCCCCCTTCAGTATGTAATAAAGATGTACAAGCAGGATAGTAAATTGTAAGGCAGAAGAAAGAAATTTACAGCAAAGTGAAAAGGCAAATACGAATAAAACAGGAAGTAGGGTTTATATATATTTTTTTAACTCAATAAGTGGTAACTGTGTCATTTTATTAATAATGATAAAAGAATGGTATCTAGATGTCTAAGCCTTCCCTATTATTGRGCTGGTATGGGCTGGTAGTTTATACCCAACCCCACATTGTTTATTTACACACCCCAGGTTTTTGCTAGGGTATCAGCCATACCATAGGTCCAACCAATGGTCCGGTCYGGTTTTTTAAACAATGGGATTTCATTCCCATCTTTCTCAAAAAGTAAAGAACTCCTGACAAACCCCCCAAACCCTATTATTAAAAAAGTATTAATGTAATAAAGAGATAGTAATAAACTATTATTAACATACTAGTAAAATAGTAATAAAATAATAGTATTATAATAAAAATATTAATAAATTAATAACAAAATACAAAGGGTTTTTTTTAGCAAAGGTAAAGTATAATTATATTAATCAACAGGTCCTTCGTGCAATGAGAAGCTGTACAAAAACAAACCAGAAGGACCTCAAAAACAGGCCATCCTCAAAAAAGTACAACCAGATGCATCATCTTTAAAATCAGTATGTATAGACAACCAAGTTCTAGCAAAACCTATCCATAGATGACCTCAGCTTCAGAGGAGGCCTTGTGATCAAGAACACTGCTATTCCTTTCAAAACATACAGCCCAGAGAATTGACAAAGGAATGGAGGACCGGCAAACCTTTCCTTTCTTTGTCATCCCTTGTATATGCCAAGCCTCCAAACAAGCTTTAACTGAGGCAGGCATACACCAATTAAACTTCAGAATTTTTATAAAATAGTTCCAAACCTCTGAGACAAATTTGCAATGTAAAAACAGATGATTGACTCATTCTGTTTCCACACCACAAAAGCTACACTGTAGGTCACTGCAGTTAAAGCCTCTCCTCACCAGCATCTCTTTGGAAATGCACTTCTCTAAAGCTGCCACCCATACAAAAAACTGACTTTGGAGGGTGCCACTGTCCCCCAGATGGCCCAGCTAGGAAAAGGGACTTCATTTCCTCCCACTATAGAACTGTAAAAAGATTTTACTGAGAACTCTCCAGATTTGTTCCATTTCCACACTTTTATATCCTGAGATTGTAAATTTAAAACCTGAGTCCTGATATTGAAGCAGAGCTAGGAAATTTTTCCTACCTGTTGAATCTCCCAATCATTAAAGTCCCTTCTAAAGGATGGAGTCCAGCAGATCCTATTATCCCTCAGCACAAAAGAGTCAACTACCAACGCCTCTTTATCATCCACCAAATTGAACAAGGTGGGAAACAGCTCCTTTAAGAGAATTTTCCCCAGTCCAGGGATCCAGCCAGAACCTGATCCTTCTTCCGTCACCAACTTGGAATCTAAGACCACTTCTGAAAATGTTGGAATCTCTGCAGATTCCTTCCCACAAACTGCACCCATATGTCGGCGGGGTAAACCACTTCCCCAACCACTATCACCTAGTCCATATTTCTCAGCTATTACCTTCCTCCATAGGTTGTCTGGCTCAGCAGCAAGCCTCCAAAACCAACTTCCTAATAAGGCTAGGTTAAAAGACTTTATATACTCCTTATCCCAAGGCCCCCTTGTGATAGGAGTTTGCAATTCTAAACCCAGTTCACAAGATGGTACTTGTGAGTCTTTCCAGCCCACTCAAAGAAAATCTCTTATCTTTTTTCTATTAAAACCTCCACCACCTCAGAGGGGATTAGAAAGAGAGCCATAAAAAATAAGTTGGCAGACTTGCTAAAACACTTGATAACAGTTACCTTCCCACCTTTGGAGAGATACCTTGCTTTCCAAGTGGTCAATTTTTTATCCATCCTTTCTAAGATTGGCTTCCAGATGGCTTTAAAAGTGCATTTTGTGCCAAGTGGCAACCCCAAATAGTTAGAAGGTAGATTGGTAGAAGACCAACTTTGCAGCCCAACAGAACTGCCAGACTCTGAATGTAAGAGACCTCAACCTACAACTATCATTTCACTTTTAGCTAGGTTCACCTTTAGGCCTGATACAATCTCGAACCAGAAGAGGAGATGCCAGACTCTGAATGTAAGAGACCTCAACCTACAACTATCATTTCACTTTTAGCTAGGTTCACCTTTAGGHCTGATACAATCTCGAACCAGAAGAGGAGATGTTTCAGAAGGACTTGATCCTTTGATGCCTTGCAGAAAAAGAGGGTATCATCTGCATATTGCAGGATAGGAATAGCAGTCCCATTCAGCTTCACTTCAAAAGCCTCCAACAGCTCCTTCTCCACAGCCTTGTCTACCATTTTATTTAGACCTTCCATGACTTTTAATTGTTAAATGAAAATAAAATAATAATATATAAACAATTAATTAATAATAACATAATAATAAAATGATAAACCAATATTAATAAACTAATACAAAACTGAATTTTTGATTGATTCCGATTCTAGCTCCAGAATTACCAAACAACAACGATTGGAATCTAACTCCAATTCCCATTTAAACCAAACAGGCATTGAAAATAGGTGATTCTGATTCTGATTCCAGGGAATTTCTATTCCAAACCAAACAGGTATTGTTTCTACTACTTACTATTAGAGTGATTCTAACAATTGGGGTGCCGATGCCTGAACTTTTTAGGCATTATGCCGAAAGAACCTGCTAGTGTTGACTCCAATAAAGGTTATCCCTCGTCAGGCTTATGTTTTCTTAATGTTTCCTTTTTTTTTTTTTGATCTGCAACAGAACTGATTTCTTAATGTTTTTTTCAGATTTTAGAGTTCAATAAAAATGTCTGCCACTAGAACTTAAGTCCAGCAACCATAAGCAGTCAAACAAAATCCTAATCACTTCTTTATTGCCAACCATATTCCCAAAATTCCCTCAAGTCCAGCTTCAGTAACTCTATAAACCCATTTCAATTAGTTTTCTTTCATCCTTACTTTCACAATCTCAGACCTGAAACCAAAAAGTAGTTTTCAATATCAGTGGCCAAAATAGCGGATACCACTGGTTGCTTGCAGTATTTTCTCATGGCTTTGTTTTCTATCTCATCAGTTTACTCTGTTTTAAAAGTGCAAGGCCCTCCTAGCACCTGAAGCACAAGGCACAAAGCAAGGCAGTAAGGCACCCTCATTTCAAAGCAAGGCACAAAATTTTGAAAAAGAAATTACAGTTTTASAAAAGCCATTCACTCAAATTAAAATACATAAGCATAACATATAAATCATATTCAGAGTGAAAATGTGGAATAAAAGTAAATATATGTTGATTGTACCAAAGTGCTTCAAGCACTCGACAATTCAAGCATCTGAAAGTTCCAACCTGTTAATTTATGTCCTAGTTTAATCACTTCAAGTGGCAGGCATGATGTTAAACACCTTGCGTTCCTAATCAAGAAGATCAGCCCTGTGACTACATAAAGGCCCTTGAGGCAAGCCCAAACAGGTCCATACAACTGTTTGGYGTAGTGCCCCTGACCTAAATTTTTTGCCCATAAATCCATAATATATTAAAAAGGTTGGATTTCCAATTTTAGTTGCAGTTCATTCTATTTTAGGATTAGGGATCAAATATTACTTGTACTATTGTTGCTTCTTAAGAAATTCTGGTATTTAGATCCTATTTTCAAGAATTAAGGCTTCAAGCATTTGAAAGGTCGTTGTTGTTTATTTAAAAGTTATAGACCATTATTAGCAAGCAAACAACAACAAAAGGTCATTTAGTAAGTTGATAAACCATTACAAAGGTGCAAAACACATAAGAAYATAAAAATAAATAATAAAAGAACATATTTTAAAAAAGATGTGCACCTGGGCTGATGCACTAGGGACGTGCTTTTTGAAAGGGGATGCACCTGGGTTTAGGCTAGGACCCAAATATCCAATTATTATCTCTCTTCGAACAAAAATAAGACCAAAATCATAAAGACCGTTTTTCTCTTCACAGAAAATGGCATTTTCTTTGTAGAAATCAATCTCCAACCAACTCTAGCTCTAAATTGGCCTTCTTTAGTAAAAACAATCTCCAGCCCATTCTTTTTATGGACTTTATAGATTTTTCCAAATAGTGTCCTCAATATTGAATATTTCTGGACGAAGGAAAGATAATGGCATTTCACTCTTGAGAAAATCTAAAATTGCAATGACAGGGTAATTTTGAATTTATGAAAATATCTACAAGGTATGACATTCTTTTAGCATATGTGATGGATATCCATCAGCATGATGTTTGTGCCAAGTAAATAACTAAATATAGGTGATATTCTAAGGAGCTTTTTGGTCACAGTTGAAGTGGCTGAATGATTTACTTACTGTTTTGTCTTTCAGTGAATAAAAAAAATATTTGAAGTATTATGATAACAATCCAACATCAGTAATCAGTTTCAGCCAATAACCTCCTTAATAGCTTATGCACTAAAAGATGAAGCAATAAGCCATCCAGTTCAGCCACTTCAGCCGTTATCAAATGGCCCAAGTCATGTCTATCCCTTGTAACAGATTCATGGCTTTCCTCTTCTCACAAATATRGCACCACCATCCAGCCTCCTCYTCTTTTTGGAGCCAGCTGATTACAAGCTTTGAATCACCTTCAATTAACAGCTTCCTAGTGTTCAGTTCCTTTGCCTTTTAAATCCCTTCCATAACTGCCATAATTTCAGCCCTTATAGAGTCCCCAACTCCTATTGGACCCGAGAAGAATGCAATGACAATTCCCTCCACATTCCGAACACTCCTCCAATGCCAGACAGGCCCAGATGAAATTTACTACTACCATCAAAGTTGAACTTGACTAGGGGGTGGGGACCATGTAGTCTAACTACCACCCTAAAGGGGAGAGGAGAACTAACAATCTCTCTCCAGTTTCTCAGCATCTCAACCCCAGAAACATCCTTGAATAGCTCCAACAATTCCACCCAGTGGATCACCTTGATGAAAATAGCTTCAGTAACAGCTTTGCTTTGTTCTTTACCAAGAAATATTCGTAGACTCCTTTCTTCCCAAATCATCCAACACACTGCTGCCCTTGTGTAACAAGTGTTCTCTTCGCAGCGCCAACCACCGTGCCTACAGCCGCCACTCCAGCGTCCAAGTGTGTGTCATGGGTGGGCTATGCTCGTACTTTTGTATGGGGGATTGCCAATGGCATTATTGTAATACTATAGTATGCTTTTTCACCTTTTTGATGTTTCTTATTGTCATTCCCCCAAAAGCTTAACGTACTCTTTGAGGGGAGGTAGGTAGTCGAGTGAGCTCATAAGCGTGTAAAGGTTAAGCACGAGATCCCCTCGACACTGTACTATGTGCTTGTGCTTACCACTGATTAATGCAATACAAACAGCCTTTTGCTAATTCGTGTGCCATCTTGTTGCCTTTTGTGTGTGTTTGCTTTGTTTCGTAGGCTTACT